TGGGATCTCAAGTGACATCATTTACCATATATTGACTTTCCCATTTGTCGTAAATGCTGAAGAGAGAGAGAGGGCTCCTTCCCCTCTGTCATCAGCGATCCACGATCATTTTAGTATGTCAGTGTCAGCAGGGAGAGAGAGAGAGAGAGAGAGAGGGGGGAAGGAGCTGGCACACGGGGACGTGCAGGTAAGGAGAGAGCTGCTGCGCATGTCCATATATTCGTGGACGCGCAGCAGCTCTCAAGAATCACTGTCAGTCATCAGTGGGGAGGATCCCGTCAGATACGTTGGGAATGCATTCATAAAAAAAAGATAGAACCCCATAGTTCTCCTTTAAGCATTTTTTATGTAACACTAAAAAAAATTATAACCAAAACAAGGAAAAACAATAAAGAAATAATAATAGTAAAAAAGAAATAGAAATAATAAAAAAGAGTACACTAAAAAAATTATAAAATATTTAATAAATACAGCAAAGTGGAGGAAGGAGTTAATTAGGGCTGGTTAGGGTTAACTAAGGGTTAATAAGGGATTTAATAGGAATACATCTTATATTAAAAAAAACTTTTTTTAACTTGTAAAGTTCTTTAATTGATGTTCTATGCAGATCACACTATACAAATGAAATAGTAACGCTGTATTACTCAATACCATCAGCAGACTATCTGCAAGTGTTTGGTGGGAGGGGGCGCACTTTGGCATCATTGCCAGAGGACCTTGTCCTGGCACTGCCTTAAAGTAGATAACATCACTATTATACATGAAAAAAAAAAAAAAATCAACTAGTAGGGAGGAGGCACTCACAGGATATTTCCATTATTCAATTAGAGCAAAAAAAAAAGCAAAAGCTATTTAATTGTAAAAAGGAAAAAAAAAAAATTCAGTGAGGCGCGGCTTACCTTGCTGCAAAGGAACCAATGACGTTTGATGGCATGATACAGACATTCATATTCAGAGCAAAACAGCAGGTTTGCTTTATCCTCTCAACCCCAGCAGCATATGCTTCATTTTCCTTTGCACACATACATCTCCCTTAAGTGATGGGCAGTAGCGTCACAAAGGGGATGTTGGGGGTTTCGGCCCGCACCTGGGTGACACCATTGGAGGGGTGACACCAAAATGACTGGCAGTCATTTTGGTGTCACCCCCTCTAAAAAGTCGGGCACTCGGTCATGGACCGAGAGCCCAACAGTGTCAGGAGAGAGGAGGGGACCCAGCGGGATGAGGTATGCATGCCCTCCTCTCTCTGTCGGCATCCATCACCAAGATGGTCGCCATCAGGTGTCAATAAGACGGCCACGCATGCGCGCTGATGTCACGGAGGGGTGTCAAACTGGTCTCCGCTCCGGGTGACACCCAGCCGAAATAAATCACCAGGGCCGGCAGTTACTACTACATGGAGAATTCATATCTCTCTGTAAGCTATGACTCTGCTGGCCCATAGCTTACGCAGAGATTTAATTAGACTCTCGGCCCCTGAATGGAGTAGTGAAGGAGCAAAAATGTAGGTAAATATATACATCTGTGGAGATCTGTATTAAAGTACACCCAGGGCCAGATTTCTATTACTGGAGCCTGTAGGCACACAAATGTATGTGCCCTTGGTAACACCCCTCTGCTAAAAATCCTTCTTTTACCATCTAGATAACCTTATACGAAATGACTATTTTTACCTATAATGGAAAACAAATATGTGGCCAATAACTAAAAAGAGAAATGCTGCCTCTTATTCTCTGCCACCTATTGGCACATACCTACTGTGCCTAATGGCAAACCCAGCTCTGTGCAACTGCAAATGTAAACATAGTATTGTAAAACACATGTACACATTAGTGCCTCTGTTAAATATAACTTTGTTCTCTTGCAGAAATAGACCTGCCGCTAGAAACTTTAGCATCCAAAACTCCCAGATGACACTTCCCTGCTATGTCACTAATGTGTGCCTTCGGAGCTGTGCTTAAAGGGCTACTCCACTTAAAAAAATAAAAATGAAAAGATCATATAAGAGAATATAGCATATATAATTGCTTCACGGGCCATTTTGCATCCGCTGTAATTCTCTAAAACTGTCAACATAATTAAATTCAATATGGTGTACAGAAAGCCCCCAGACATGTAATTTCCTGCTTCTATGATTGGCTGACTGATTTTGACAGATGTCTGTATTAAGATACAAATACAATTTTAGGCATCCTTTGCAATAGGAATTCCATTTTTTGGTGACAATGGTGAGAGACTTCGTGTTTACTGGCCTGGCAGACACAAAAAAGACTTGTTGTCAACATGTTAACAGTAAATAGATCAGAAGGTTGGTATATTTCCCCATAAGTAGTTCCTGACTCACAGCTATGAAGTATTATAAATGTATTTTTCTTTGCGAATGTTTGTTGAATATTTCATTGGAAAAGTGAGGAGATGGCAGTGAATCAGGAAGATAAACTCCTTATAGATAAACACTAATCCATGTAATTATGTGTTCACTAAAACAAATCATTATATATCATTTTAATGCAGCCAAAGTACTCGAATCTGACTTGATATCTTTTGTAATCTCCTGTACAGTACAACAGGGACAGACCTACCGCCAGTGCGGCTGCACCAGGGCCCGAGACTGGGG